CCACAGACACTTCTGTTTTATGAGACAAGAGACAGGATGTTGTTCCTGCTCGTCTACCAGTTCATACTGGTTACTGCTGATGGCTTCAGGCCGTGTCACCACAGCTGTGTAGAAACACTTGGGTAACGATACCACCTGGTAGCGTCTTGTTGTTCATCTAAAAGGACCTCAGTATCAACTATAAAATATAAAATAATCAATTATACCTATGGTCAAACAATTAGCATCATTTACTTCACAAACACTACAGGCAGACAGGTAAAAAAAAAAATACAGCCCCAGATCATGGTGGAGTCCTGGCTCTAACCCATATAATCATATGTAATCTCCAACATCAAATCTTGCAAAGACACATCGGAAAGCTGACGACGAGCCTTCGTCAGCTCAAGCGGCTAATAACAACCCCCACCACTAGCACACCAAACACACACACACACACACACCTACACGCCCACTTTCCACACCACACACCAGGTACAAACACCAGATAAGACACCGGGACTGCAACCCTGAACCATAACCGCTGCAGGGAATACTCTTAAGATTTACGGACGGTGAAAAATCTGTCGTAGGTTGAGTGAACAGTATAACTGATGTCCTTCAACTCCTTCATTTCCTGTCACACCACTTCAGCTGAGCTACACATGACTACAACTGAACACAGCCACTGAACTGCAGACAAATGCTGAAGGGATGCAGTAAAAAAAAAATAAAAAAAATAGTTATTCTGGGTTGTACAATACCTGCTGAAACAGGATCAGAATGACGTACGCCGTTCACCTAGCAACCGTGATTGGCTCTACACGCCATCATTTAACGACACATGGCTCTTTGTGACCTCTGAGGTCAAGAATTGACGCGTATGAGTGGAAGAAGCGGCGGTTTTATTTTGACTTTTGAAGCATTGATTTTCACATTTGTTTTTTTGTTTTTTTTCAGCCAACAGGAGGCGTTCGAAATGTTGAAGACGTGAAGTCAAGAGTGCGATGGTGAACAGGACAAGCCCAGACCCAGGACTGCTGAACAACATGCACCTCCGCCTCCAGGGCTGTTTGGATCCTGGCTCCGTGTGACATCACACTCAGCTGAGGACAAAGCCCACTGCGTTCTCACG